AATGCTGACTCGTTTCACTGCAAGCGGTGACAATTTGGTAAGGGCCCTGCGGATTGCTCGGCTGGCGTGCGCGCGACTGTGCGAGTGAACTCATGCGCTGTTGCCCTTGAGCCGGTGCAGCTGCCGCCGGTTCCACGCCAGTCGGGCCTGCAATCTACGGCGTTGTTCTGCGCTATGCTAGGGCTGCTAGGAGCTTGGACTCTTGTGGATGGTAGCTGGAATTACGTCTCGTGATGGTGGTGGCTAGCGGGGCGACGCTCGGAGAAGGAGGTGGCGGCGGCGGTGGTGGTGGCGGTGTTGGTGGCGGCGGTGGGTACAGCGAGGGAGCCGGGCCGCTGCGAGTATGCCAAGTGGACTTAGAATCTGCGTGATGTGTCTTCTTGATCGTTGACAAGTTTTTTTCGGGTGAGCCTAACAAGGTTCACAGGCTCTGCATGTGGACCCGCGGCCAAAATCATGCTGTGCTGCTTCGAGTCGGTAGCCGGCATGAAGTGGTGCGTCTAAGGCTGCGTCCTATTGCAAGCAATGCTATGACGTGGAAGTTGCACATCAGCCGACGTGATCTCTTCTTTTCATCCTTGCAGCATTGCCGTCGTAGTCTGGACATTGCCTGTGTGCACTGGGAGACTGTCATGCTTCTTTGCTGGCCTGCGTGTCAGAGAGTCTTGCGGCATCGGGGCCTGGCTGTCTTGTCGGTCGGTGCTGTGGCATTGCGCGCTCAGCGTTTCTTTCAGGCCGCGACCGCCACTGGGGCCGACTCAGGCGTCGCTGTGCTGCGCATCTTCTGCGTCGGCGCCAGTGTGCTGGCCGTTGCCGTGGACAGCTACAGTTTCGAATGTCCACCGGCCTGCCTGGCTGTGGGTGGGAGTCGACAATGTGGATGGCTTCCATTGAGAAGCCAGGTAGTTGTTGACTGCGATCAGCAAGGTACCTTCGCCGTTGCAGTGACACAGGAGCTGTGTGTCTTCGTCGTACTCGAAGAGACGGGTGCCTTTTTTCCCGGGGAACTTCACCGGGAACTTTTCCTCGCGCTTTTCCCTGTCGCTCATGCTGTGGAGCACGCTCAGGAGCATATTCATGCTGTCGTCGTCGATCAAGACCATCGCCACGTTGCGGAAGCTATATTTGTCTTGTAGCTGTGCGAGGGCTTTCGGGTCGGCGCTTTGCAGTCTTTTCTCGTCGCACGCGGTCTGCCACCACATGCAAGCTTCTGCAACGCCCGCAGCTTGGCGAGCCATGGCGGAAGGGCTACGGGAAACAGGGGAGCAAAGGCGAGTGCAGCTGGTCGCTTGAGCAGCACGAGCTTGCGTCACCGTGGTGCTTTGGGTTCTCTGTGTCTCTCTCTCTCTCTCTCTTGGCAGAGATGCTCACGGATTGCTCGCGCTATAGACACGGCTGCCAGGTGCTTTGCAGCATGCAGGCGTCCCTTTTGTCGACGCATCGGTGTGCTGTCCTACTTCGGCCTTGGGATGGCGCTGCTGGAGCTGCCTGTGTGCGTCCAGCTTCTGCAAGGCGCGACGGACTGGATGATGGCGTGTAAGCCTTTCAGGTGCGGGTCTACGGGGTCTGTGTCTTGCATCAGGGGCGATTCTTTGTCTTCTCCGACTTGGCTCGTGAGCTTGATCCGTTCTGGGTCCATTTGCAGTAGAATGCTGAGCTTTGTCTTCACGTCGGCAACCGTGTCGTCGGAACTGAAGGGCACTTGCAGTTCCTTTCCGCTGAGTAGTCGGATGCCGAGTTCGTGGCGCCGCGGTGCCAGCCTTCCGGCCAACACGACTTGATCCAGCTCCTGGACTTGCTGCCGGCAGTGCGCACAGAGTTCCTCTGGGGTTGCATGCAGCGGGCACCAGGTGATTGGAGGTGTGAAGTCGGGCTGAAGCGGGGGCTCCAGGCCGGCTTCCAGCATGCTGAGGACCATTGCTTGGGCCAGCTCGCAGTCGGGGCAGTCCGGCATGAAGCTGTTCCGGTGGAGCTTGCACCACAGCATTGGCTGCTGCTGGTCGGCCGCTTCCATGGCTCTGACTTGCGGCTCGTACATCTGGGCCTGTGTACCTTGCAGCTGCGGGCAGCATGAAGCTTCGCATGGGTTGCTTGTTGTCGCAGTGGTGAGTGGAGGTCGGCGTCCGGTCACGGCAGGCTGCTTTTTTCTTTCTCTGCTCTCTTCTGCTCGGTTGGAACAGGCGCGCAATCTCTCTTGGCCTAGCGAGGTCGGCTCAGAACTTCGCGCGTGTACAGCCATCCTGTGATGCTGCGATACTCGAAGCGGATGCGCAACTCGACGACGACCCACACCGGCCGTTGCTGGCGGCTCATGCTACGCACGGCATAGTCAAAGCTGGGAGTGGCGGTCTCCAGAAACTTGCTGAGTGCGGCTGCTGCTGCCTTGCTTCGGACCGGCCACCTGTTCATCGTTTGTATCGCTTCCACGGGCGTCAGGTTTTGCAGGCCGTTCACGCTCATCCACAGCAGCATGCTGGCCGGCTCCGTGGTCCATGCAGCGTTGTTCTCGAGGCGTTGGTGGCTCTTCCCGAACACGCGCAACCTGACGGGCGCGACGAAGCCCGGGCATCGCAGGAGCGTCCCCGGCAGAGGTGTTAGCACGGCGCGCAGGTGCTTCAGGTCCTTCTTCAAATCCTGCATCCATCTGGCTTCGGAGAAAGCTACCCGTCTGCACAGGCGCAAGACGGGCAGCAGGTCGTCTCGTTTCAGCATGGCGCGCAAGATGCCCCATGGCTCGCCCTCTAAATCTGCCAGGAGCCCATTCATGAAACCTTGGATGTTTGCCAGCCGATTCTTGAGCCGCGAGGTCTGCGCCGTGCTCAGCTGGACGGCTCGTTTTTGCGGTGCGTTCGTGCTAACATGCCTCTGGCCGGCTTGCATCTGGCAAGGTCCGCAGAGCCTTTTTTTTCCTGATGTGGCTCGCTCTGCAACTCCCTCCGTTTTGGAGTGTGCGTGCAAGGCTCTGGACATGTAGCAAGAGTTACTGTTGTCGTATGCTGTAGGGCGACAACTGTCTTTTTCTTGCTAGCTACCTTGCAGTGGATGCCGAGCTGCCTGCTCGACCTTGGACTTCGGTTGCCGCTCGCGGCCTTTCGTCTGCTTCGGCTTCGGTGTTTTCTTTTGCTGGCTCTCGCGTAAGAGCTGTCTGCAGCGGAAGCGTTGCGCGAAGCTTGGTGCTGCCGGCAGGAGGTCCAGCGGGCGCCGTCCCTTGCAGTCTCGCGCGGCAGTGTCTGCTCCGGACGAGATCAGGAGTTGAAGCAGGGCCGGTTTTCCCTGCAGGGCTGCTGTGTGGAGCGCCCTTTGCTGGCGGCGTCCGCGTTTCTCTATGTCTGCGGCGCTTTCTATGAGCAAGCGCACCAGTCGCGTGCTGCCCACGCTTGTGGCAATGTGCAGGGGCGACTGTCCCTCGCCATCTTCGGTGTTGGGGTTGGCTTTTGCCTGCAGTATCAGGCCTCCGATCTGCGCGTCTCCGTGCAGGCAGGCTGTCACCAGAGGCTTGCTCGGATATCCCTCCTCCACGTTGGCCTCGGCAATCAGCAGAAGGCGGACGATGTCCTTGACGCCGAGGCAGGTGGCCAGATGCAGCGGCCGCCAGTCCGTGTCGAGTGACATTCCCATAGGCATGTTGGGGTCCGCGTACTTTTCGAGCAGACGTTGTACTGCGGCGGCGGATCTTGCATGGATGCTTGCCTGAATCTCCGTCCGAAATCCGGGCTGGCACGCGTGTGACACATACTGTACATCGACAGCCTCTTCCCTGTTCAGGATCTCTTCCAGTTTCGTCCAGGGGTCTTCTTCGCGCAGAATCTCTCCCGCCACCAGCAGCGTAGTGCGAAAGCGTGGAGCCTGCACGCTTGAGTGCAGGTACCTTTTGAGGGCTTGCGCCGCGCTGCTGCCGCTCAGCATCGGCACGCAGGCCCACGCCGGGCAGGACGCTGTCCGGGTCCCCGCCAAGTTGTGGAAGTGGAGCATGAGTTGGATCGGCGGATGTTTTTCCTTCTAACTGGAATTGAGTGCTGGCTACGTCAGCTGATCTACGGGTTTGCAAATGGCTTTGGCGAGGCGACATGTCAAGCACGGCGTTCATGGTGCTCTACGGTGGCATGACATGCTAAGCTGCAGCCGCGTCTGCGTGCCTTTTTTTCGACTTCAAGGGCCTTGCGCTGCGTAGTCCTGGGTCGAGCCCTCTGCTTCTCAGGGTGAAAAGATGAATGCAATGCCAACCCGCACGGCGCGGGTCGTTCCAGCATGTTTCTCCTGCCGTGCGAGATGCCCTCACACTCTGTGAACACGAACGCCATGCCTGGATGTTGGCTGAACGCTGCTTTCGATGTGCAGCACTATCGGAATGTAGAGTGGAACGGTATATGTCAGCACTGGTTCGGATTGCCAGTTTGCCGCATCGATGGGCTGCCCCCAGACGCTTTGACTTTGGTTCGCGACAAATACCGTCTGACTGGCCATCGGGCTCGGATCCGCCTGTTGTAGTTGTTGCTCTGGTGCTAGCTGCTCAGGATCCTCCGTGGGCTGCCACTCGTATATGAACTGGAACCATGTTCGGCAGGAGAATCGGTGAAGTCGGCAGCGCTGCTTCAGGGAGCTTTGCCACCAGCGAAGTTGTTCCGGTTGCAGCTGTCGGTACATGGCGGCATGCACGAACTCGCGTATCTCCTCCTCGAGGATGTCGTGGCATCGTTTCTCGTAGCTGGGCGTGAGATCCGGACCTCATGGAGCGGGTGAGGCTTGCTACATGCAGGGTACAAGCAGCAGGGCAGCCGCCGGTCGGTCTGAGCTGTTAACCTCTGTTGGCAGCGCTCCCTGCGGTTGGCGGCGGCTGTTTCGTCCTGTCAAGTTCGGCTCTCTTCTTTTTTTGGGAGAGGAGGTGAAGCTTCTTCGAGATCCCGGCTGGCGTGTCCCTGCCGTTGTGTTGCTGCATGCCGCCATTCTGCCGCCTGGATCGCGTGGAGCCGGATGGTGGGGGGGGGGGGCGGGCGGGGGCGGGCGGGGGCAGGGGGGAGGAGGATGTGGTCGGATGGGGCTGTTTCGCCGCCTGAGTTCAGCTGAGTGGCTCTGCTCTGCGAACTGGTTGTACTGGACCTGCTCCTGCGTTCGCGCCCTCGTGGACTTCTTGCTGCGTCTGGGACGAGGATATGCTTGGAGTGCCTCACGAAGCGCTTGTCTACGCTCCTCACGCGCAGTGCGGGAATATCTCTCGCAGCCGGGCCTCCTCCGCGGGGCTGTCCTGGCAACGTTAGCAGTCAACACGATTGGCGAATGCAGCAATGCCTTCATCTGCAGCGCCCACCTCGACGTCGGCCCAGGGCGATCTTCTGGGCATTGTTGCCATGCGGGCTTGGATTGCGGACGCTCGACGGGTTCTCTGGTCTGCAGTCGTCTGCAGCATCCGACTGGGCGTCAGGAGCCAACGACGACAGAGGTCAGAGGAGTACCGGGATCTCGTTCAGGGTGCGAGCACGCGCGCTGCAGAAATGACTGAGTCCCCCCTTTTTTTCTCGCTGATTCGGTGGCATGTCTGAGCTGTTCTACCATGTACAATGCGAAGAAAGCTTTGGTACAATGGACTGACGGTCCCCGCCAAATCCTTGCCGGTGCACTCACTTCTTGTTGGGCAATCGGTGCGGCAGCGCGGTCTTGTGCGAGGCCGTCTTTGAAGTTCTTCTGGTTTTCTGGTCTGCCTCCGCAGGCTCCTCTTCCTCTGTGTCTTGGTCGTGCTTCTCGGCGTCTTCCAAGGCGTCGCTGCTGCGTTTGACTCTGGGGGCTGTGTTTTGTTTGCGGGGCTTGCGATCCTCTTGTTGCGTCTTGAAGGTTGCCCAGTTGCACGAGGCCGGCTGGCGGTAATGCGGGACTGGGGTTGCCAGCTCCTCCATGTTTCGAAGCACCAGTCCATACAGGGTCTCGAAAGGCGGCGGTTTGCCGATGTGGCGGTGTTGTCCTCGGGTCTTTTCGAAATCGTCTTTTGACAGGAGGATGCACTCGGCTATCTCGGCGGAGGCATAGACCAGTCCATCGTACGCGATCCATGTGTGACCCGTCCCTGCAGGCTTGCCGCGCACTTCCATCGTCTTGGTTCCGCTCAGAATAAGTGACAGCCATGCTTCCTTGACGACCATGACGCGATCTCCGATCTGAGGCATGGGACTTGGGTTGCCTTTGATTGTTTCTGCGTCCTTCTGTGGATCGGCGACCTCTACATCCAGTTCTTGCACGACCTGAGCTTGTGCTGCCATGCTGCTGCATGGATGCCGGAACCCGTGCTGAGTGCCGGGCCAGTTGGTGCGCGGTCGTTTCCGCAGGCGCCAGGCCACTGGCCTTTCTGTCCTTGGCAGTTACCGCTCGTGAGGCTGCATTGGCCGTGAGTCTCCAACGCGAGTGTCTTGGGGCTTGGCCCAAGGTGTTGCTTCTTCTGACCGGCGCGGTGAGGTCTTTGACGTTGGATCAAGCTCATCTGGCTTTGCCGTCGGTGACGTCGCCTTGGCCAAAGCGATCATTGCCGCCATCCTGTGCACTTTTCCTCGGCTGCGTCAGGAACTTTGCCGGCTGGACTCTTTGGCCGTGGCTTACTTTCGACCGAGGCACCACTATCGGCTTGCTGCGGCGCTTACTGGAGTTGTTTTTTGAAGGCAGACTCTGCGGCAAGCTGTCATGACGTCGCTTTTTGACCTATGGGAGTGCGTGCTTCTTCGTGTTTGATTTTTCGGCCAGCACGCCGGCGGGCAAGCTCTAAGTCTGATCGGACAAGTTTCTCCTGGCATGCGGGGGAGAGACTTTTTTTCGCCCTTGCATCTTGCTCGTGCGATGGCGAGGGTTTTGATAGTGCACCCATACTGTGACATGACCTGTCGGCTACGGCTAAAGCTTTCACGACCAATTCAGGCTTGCTCGGATGAGGAGGACGACGAGAGTGTGCCCTTGGTCGAAGGCAAGCTTGAACGGGCTGTCCTGGCCGTTCTCCTGCGAGCGCATGGGATCGGCTCGATAGGATAGCAAAAGCTTTGCCACGTTGCAATGGCCGCCGAGGCAGGCGGCATGGAGCGGCGTCCATGAGTTTCTCGAACTTGGCTTGTG